CGAGGAGGAGCCAATAGAGAAACTTTTGGAACCTTTTTCTAAAGACCAGTTAGCACTTCTGATCAAAGAGGCAGTGAGTAAATACCCTGATTTCATGGAAAGTGTGCACAAATTGGCTGATGCTGACCCGTCACATCGCAAAATATTTGTGCACGGTCTCGGGTGGGATGCGAATGTCGAGATCCTTACTTCCGTGTTTGGGAAGTACGGAGAGATCGAGGACTGTAAAGTTGTTACAGATAAGGCATCCGGGAAATCTAAAGGTTATGGGTTTATTTTGTACAAGCATCGGAATGGTGCCCGCAAAGCTTTGTTGCAGCCTCAGAAGAAGATTGGGACTCGGATGACTTCCTGCCAGCTAGCATCTGCGGGCCCTGTTCAGACTGCTCCTCCGGCAGCTGTGACAACTATACCCACCCCGCCCGTGTCGGAGTACACACAGAGGAAGATATACATTAGCAATGTCTCAGCAGAACTCGATCCAAATAAATTGTTGGAGTTCTTTTCCAAGTTTGGAGAGATTGAGGAAGGGCCATTAGGGTTAGATAAGCAGACTGGGAAACCAAGAGGGTTCTGTTTATTTGTGTACAAGAGTCTGGAGAGCGCAAAGAAAGCGTTGGAGGAGCCGCACAAGATTTTTGAGGGGCACACGTTGCATTGTCAGAAGGCAGTAGATGGTCCGAAGCATAGTAAGGGTCATTATAACCAACATACTTCCCATCAGCAGCAGCAGCACCATCACCAGGGACAGCAAGGTTATTATCACCATAGTGCAAAAAAGGGGAAGTATGCAGGGAGCAGTGGTACAGGCGGTGGGCACCTGATGGCACCAAGCCATGGCGCAACTGTCCCTGCCGTCGGGTTCAATCCTTCAGTGGCACCTGCAGCTTTAGGACAGGCAGTGGCAGCTTTGTTGGCAACACAGGGTGCAGGCTTAGGTATTGGGAATTTGCTTGGAGGGATAGGTGGTATGAATCCTCAGGGAGCAATGCCAGGGATGAGCAATGCGGGTTATGGAGGTCAGAGTGGTGCAGGTGGGTATGGAAGTCAGCCCGGGATGCAGGGAGGCTATGGAGGTCAGCCACAGATGGGACAAGGTGGTGTTAGGCCGCAACAGGGTGGTGCACCCTATATGGGTCGGGGTCACTAGGTGAGTGAAAGGTATATTGTTAAGTGTCTTATTTTATTCACTATTCTATAATGCTGCCAATAATTAGGTTGCTAGAAAAATGGATCTTAATATTTTCTGGATGGGTCAGAATTATGTCAGTAGTTTTTGGACTTTTTCCCTGCATTTCATGCCTATGTTCTAAGATACTGCT